GGTGCTGTGGGCTTGGCTAGCTCTTTGTCCCTTCTTCCGTTGCTGCGCGGGCTGATGTGCAGCCTTTGTCGTTTGCCGTGACTCTCTTCGAATTCACGCCCTGACCTGCCTTTTTCAGCGCACCCGAATGCGCTAGTAACCACAAAGTGCACGCTATACACGCTTATTATGCTGTTCATCAACGCAGTGGCGTGAGCGTAGTGAGTGGTGCATGCTGCACACCGCCCAATGAAGGATACACACTACTGTGCGCGATTCCCGCGCCGGTGCACTAGCTACCGGGAGAGAGGGAGAGAGAGAGAGAGAATTTAGCCTAGGTTGGACACTGCATTTGTGCCTTTCAAACGTTGCATGCAGACCCGTGCGCTCGGCTCTTTCCAGCTCTGGCGGGATATGAATAGACTTGTTGCTTTACACCCGCCATTGCGTGTGATACATGTCCAGATCTCGCATCCAGACGCGGGAGCGGCCAAACTGCATGCTGTTTCACATTTGATTTCGGACGCAGCCGCCCACTTTGCCCGCTTTCCCTTCCAGCACTCTCACTCAAACACCGGCTTGTGACGCCACTTGTGTGCTTGCGATGTTTACAAGGGCCAAGAATCAGCAGTCAGCATGCATTCAATTAGCCAGGCCAGATGTTGAGGAGGTGCATACAGAACGGTGAAGTGCATACATACATACAGTACATACATACATACATACAGTCTCTCGAGTCTTCCTGAGTGAGAGCAGATATCTCCGCATGCTATTTGGTTCCCATGCATACCCGTCGCCCGGGCTTGCCGCGCGTGTGTCTCGGCGTTGAGCAGCGAGCGGCAAGGAAATTGGATGCTGAGGAGACTGGTCGATGCCGCGGTCGCTGGTCGCTCTTTCCAAACTTGGGTCTTCCTCTCACAACGCGACCCCTCTATCATTCAAAATTCAATTCCTGCTCCGCTGCCTCCTTCCGACCCGTCGCCCTTTGCCTCTTTTGTTTGTGTTGCTCCTTTGCCCTCTTTCCCGCTCCCAATACCAAGCTGCTGGTCTTCATCCAGGTCTTCCACACGCTCGTCAGCAACTTCGCACTCCGACTCCGCCTCACACGCAAGACGTTTGACGCCGCGCCGTTAGGCTCAGACTGCTCCACTCGCACACCCAATCCCAACGCGGCAGTCATCACGACTTACCCTCAAGCTGAGCCCTGCTTCGTCGCAATTGTTTATCTCGCATCCACTAAGCAGCGAAAGATCTCCGGCCTCACTTCTCCGCCTGCGTCTCAGCCAGGGTGCTGAGCGAGCACCGGTCACGAGTCTCCGACCGAGCCCCACGTTCCCTTTGCTGTCCCAACCCTCACGATCTGCCTTGGCAAGTTCAAAGGACAAGTCTTCGCCGTCCAGTCAAGTGGTTCTGCCTGAGTTGTTCCTCGGAAGGCAGGCTTGCCCTCACCGCATCTGGCTGCGCTTTCGTTCATCAGCAACTCTCAGCTAGACCGATCCACACAACAGTCTCACCGGAACCTCTTCTCTGTGGGCGCATCTCGGTCACGACTCGCCATCATCGAATCACGAAGGGGAAAACAGGTGCGCCAATTTTGCTTCACCGCTGTACCTCGCAAGTGCGTAGGCGTGGACCGCAGCATTTGTTTTCGAGACAAGCTCTATCCGTCCTGCAGGCTACGCTTGTTCTCGCCATCACAAGGCTTGATCGCGTGGACGATCTGCGTCATTCGTGCAAAGCAAATCGACTCTAGATCGAACTCAAGGCAGGCCTTGTTGACGTCTCACGCTTACTCGTCGCTGCTTGCGGAGAGTGTGGTCATCCCGACTCGCCTCGCGGCCTCGCTTCTCAAACGTACCAGGTGACGGCTGTGGCGCACGAGCTGGCGCATCGCCAAAGTGAGGTCGGCCTGCTCACCTGATTGACGGAGCATCTCATCGTCCGTATCCGCATTGATGGACCCTTCGCATCGAGCCGCGCTGCCTCGCAGACCCTCAGACGACTACTACACCTCGACACTCGACACCTCGCACGAGCCGCGCCTCATTGCGTTTTCCGATTTTACCACCCCTTCAGCGGCTTCGCGCCCTCGCAGGCCAAGTCTGCTGAACCTGGCCAAGTCACCGGAGGTGCTCTACGGCAGCATCCAGCTTCCTTCGGACCACAGACGCAACTCTGCTGCACGATCTAGCAGCCGTCCAGAGGCTGCAGCGGGCATCCCTGCAGGCACTCGGCGCGAGATGCCCGCTCGCCCCTCATGGATGAGTCCTGACAGGCCCACAGTCGAACTGGGGGGACATGGTGCACGCATGCTGGACGAGGAGGAGGAGCCGCGGCCCCGCTACGGCGTTCGAGCGGATGTATCGAGCGTCGACGAGCGTTCCATCTCCACGACTGCGCCACATCCGAGACATCGAAGTCCTTCATCGTCGTTGAGCAATGGTTTGAGGCACCCTTCCCTCCACGCCCATCACTCCACGCGTCCACGACTACCCGATGGTCACGATCTGCCTAGCGCGCCAAAGCCTGTTTCGACCCCCACCCGCACGGACAGCTTTCTCGCGTCCCTTATGCGCGCGGGCAGCGCAACAGCAAGCTCACCGACTTTGGAGCGTGAACCGATACCGTCGCCTACACTAACCTGCGCATCCGCTCCACCACCTGACCAAGTAAGATCCAACAGCCCTGTCTACTCGAGCACGTCTGGAAGAGACGCGCCTGCTCACGTCGGCATCCACAATCGAATGCCTTCTCATCCTCCCTCGAGGCCCTCGTCACGTGCCTCTGCAGACCGCGAGCTCCATGATCCACGCCTGACCCGCCATCTACACGACAAGGACAGCATGCTTGGCATGCAACGGCATCCAGATGCAAGAGTCGGATCTGTAGCGCCGCTCAGTTCTAGTCCGAGGCTGCCGGACTTTGCAACCTTTTCTCGCCGCGTCGCCGAATCGGGCAGAGCGGATGGCGAACACAGTGGCTCCTCTGCCAGTACACCTGTACTCGGGAGTCGGCTGGCGTATCCCAGTTTGCCGGCGCACCCAAATGCTTCGGCATTGGATCCGAGGTTGATGGTGCCTGCGTCGCACTCGCTGCGAGTCGGAATGCATCGGCGCAATGCCAGTGGAGATCAGATCCTGGGCAAGCGCAAAGGCGATTGGACAGGTGACGCTGCGCCCTCAGAACGCAACTCTCACGCGCACTACTCCGTCAATCATCCCAGTTCCCTGCCTGGCAGGCAGCCGCCCCCTACACCACTGGCTTTTCCGCCATCGCGCTCGGCCACGGCTTCGCAGTCCAATGACCTGCACTACCGGGAAAGTCACACGCAAGAACCTGCTTACGCTTCGCCGACTGTTCAGCAGTCGTTTTCGAACACGTCCTACCAACCGTCTGTCGTGCGTGGAGCGCAGTTGACTCGCCAAGTGGAGCGCCGCGAGCAGCACAGCAATACGAGTCGACTACTGCTCCTCCACATCGCTTCTCTGCACGAGCAGACTTCTGGCGTGCATCCCGTCGCCACCACATTTCGCGTCAGTCACGCCGCAGTGGCGCAAAAGTCGTACGGCGCCGAAAAGCGCTTCTTGTGCCCACCGCCGAGCGTCACGGTCAGAGGTGCGCCGCTGCGCACATATGTCCCGAGCGACTCCAAGACGCAGCATCGCATCCTGATGCGCGTGACTGCCGTGGGCCCTGACGGTAGGCCTACCCAGTACGATGAACTCGACGGCAGGGATCCCGGCGTTCATGGAAGAAGCGTTGCTGCCGAGCAATTGGCTCTTATGCGGGCAGATGAAATGTGGCCGAACGGAGTGTACTTTCTCGGATTGCACGTGGGAGGGGACATGCGCAGCGACGGTGCCTCCAAGACGTTCAAATTGCAGGTCGAGATGTTGACTCCTCCAGGTCTCAATGCTGCGCATCCATCCTTTCCCCATGGCGTTCCCAATACGCTTGCTGGCTATGATGCGCGCCCCTGGGCTTCCTTTCTTTCAAGTCCAATTAGCGTGATCAGCAAACCGGCAAGAAAGAGCGCCAAGTCTCGCAACACTTCTAGCACCGTCATGGCGAACAGCTTCGTCTGCCTTTACAACCGAGTCAACAGCCAGACGGTCAGAACCAGGTTCTTGGGTATTGAGACTGAGCAGTCGAGAAGCGGACCGATCAGCCGCCTCACAGCGAAAATGGACGGCTGGACACCTCTGCGCGTCGAAGTCATTGGACGGCCATACAAGAACGTAGAGTTTTCAAATGAGCCGCTCATGTATGGCCACATTATCGTTCTGCGAGACGAGGCAGGTCTCTCCTCGGATCCTCTTCTGGTTTGCCGAGTCGACAAGGGCAAAGTCGAGTTGTGGGACCATGCCAGCGGAGAGCGCTCGAGCTCGAGTGTTGCCTCGGACGGCATCCGGAGCTTTTTCAGGCTCACCGAGCGAGGAATGCGCGAGCTGGCATCTCAAGCTCCGCACCCAAACGACCCTCCAAGATACGGTCGAGGTGCCGCGGCTGAGACTGCGAAGATCGCTCTTGATGAGCATGCCGCCCAGCAGCGCTCTTCCGTTGATGCAGGCGAAGGCTCGACCACTCCTGGCGTACCAGGACAAAATGCGAGTCCGGTTAGTCAGATGCAAAAAGTTGCGCTGCTGAGGATACTTCCCAACTACGTACGCTGCGACATGGACGACGCCTCCTTCGTTACCTTGACTCTGCCCAGTCAGCATCGCAATTATCTTTGTTCGACAGTTCCTGAGCGACGACATGAGCTCGGCTCTCAGCGGTCTCCTGAATCGGGCAACGGTTCCTGGACGGCTGCGCAGCGACCAAGAGCTCATGGTCATGATGCTGTCACATCGCAAGAGGTGGCGCGGAGCACCGCATACGCGCATGCTCGCTGCAGCGACGCCCCTCCCTCAGACTATCCGCACAAACAACGCTTGCCAGCCTGGTCCTCGACGGTCGAGCCCAGCCAGGGGCGAGAGCGTGCTGAACAGCGTGCGAGTCACCCACCGCGGCAATCTGCACACTCAGCATCGCATGGTGCCGCCGGCCCAGCCTCAGCATCCCTCCTTGAGGCCACTTCGGCAACATACGCTACACCCTCAAAAAGCGATCGAGAGGCAAGAGTAGGCTCAGGCCAGTTTGCAGATCACGTCGAGGTTGATGTGGTGGACGACACGCTGTGCTGGTCCGTTGTGATGGTCCGTGAGTAAATCGAGGCGGGAGAGTCATCGCTCGTTCTCAGAAGCTCACGCACTTTGTCCATCGTTCTACTTGACAGATCAACTCGAATACACCTACATTGATGCCAATACTGCGCTATCGGGACCTGGCCATCAGCCCCAGCCCATCAGCAACCTGCCCGTCACACCATTCTCTGCGGTTGCAAGCAAGCCTTTCTTTGATCCCACGGAGAACAGGTTGAACTTTGCTACGCGGGATCTTTTCTATCCATTCCCAATGGACGATGGCGGCCCACCCTGTCAGATAGCCTCCGAAATCTGGATTGGCGATCTGGGCCCTCTTCGCTTCGAGGTGCGCGGACCTCGACAACGCTCCGATCGCGATCCCCCGCCGCTCCACAATGACGTTGTCGTCACCTTGCCGCCGCCCGACGAGATGGCTGGAGCGGTTCATCGCGCTCTGACCGCTGCGTATCCAAAGAGCTCGCCTGCAGAGCTGGAGGAAATCAGTCCCGTAGGACTTCCAATCAGCTTGGTCCGAGGATTCGACGGTATCGCCTACCCGTCAGAGTATAAAATCTTCCTCGACAGAATGCAAAGCTCTCTTGCGCCCGACGCAGTCCAGCTCTACAGCATTCGCATAGAGTGAGCGATGCTCTCTTGTCTTTTACCCCGCACCTCGAC